TTTTTTTTTTTTTTTTTTTTGTCAGGTCGGCAAAAGAATATAACATTTTTTGGTGAGCTGCAGAATTTTAGTAATTAGTTTCTGTGTGCCATGAGACGAAAAAGGTTGAAAATTGCTGGTCTAGTATAATAAACTAAGAGTCATTTGGTTACTTTGTAGTCTTGGCTGGGTCAGAAATTATATTTGTGTGACTTAGAATAAGTTATTTTACTTTTCTGGACCACTTATTCCCTGCCCTCCAATACCGGGTCTAAAAATGGGTGAACTGAGAGACTAGAGTAAGATTTGACTCTTAAAGTTCTTGCAAGTTTGTTCTACTTCTTGGGATGACTAGAAACTATCTCCATTTCAAAAGTGTTTAAATCAGAACAGAAGAGATTGAGTGTCTTATACAAAAGATATGCTGATTTCATCTACAACACCATTCCCCACAAAAACTAAGCAAAAATCACTTTAACTTCATTTTTAAAACTAAATATTATTTCAACTTAGAGATTCGGTCTACTTCTCCTTTTCTGTTTTATTTTCTAGCTTATTTCCTAGAAAAAATTACTTGTGCATTAAAGATCCAAAAAACATGCAAAGGGGCAAAAATCAGAAATAGAATATAATTTCATTCACCCAATGATAAACTCATCATGTTACACTCATATTTTGTTGGTACTTTCCCCCAAAATAATTGGATCAAATCATATATATACACATATATACTGTTATGCGACTTGACCAAAATATCTCTCATCAAACACTAATATACAACAAGGTTTTAAGGGTCTTCTCGGCTTTAGGCAGAAGTGGAATGAATGGTGCAGTCCAGCGCTGCTAGACAGTGATGTGATGGGAGGGAGTGAACGGTGATGGGGAACCCAGGAAGGGAGCCAGTGAAGCCTTTCCGGGAGCTGACAGTTGGATCATGAAAGATGTCTAATTTGCCAGGCACAGGCGAGCAAAAAGCATTTCCCAGGACAAACGGCCTGTGAGAAACTACTAAAAACCCTGATAGGCCATGGCCTGCTGGAGGCCAGAGAGGACCCCAGTTTGCCTGGTGGGTGTGGTGAGTGGCTGGGGGTCCACTCAACAGGAGGCGAAGGGTGGGAGGAGGCCCCGGTTATAAAGAGCTTTGTTTGCCAGGTGGTGGAGTATGGAGTCCATCCTGCTGATAGTGGGGAACCAGGGACTTTATAGAATCAGTGCCCTACATGGAAGCAAGTGTCACTGAACGAAGACAACCAAAACCCGGATCTACTCTTTTTGTTTTAATATATAATTTATTTTATTAATATTGAGAGAGAGAGAGAGGGCGAGAGAGAGGAACATCCATTCGTCGTCCCACTTATTTATGCATTTATTAGTTGATTCTTGTACACGCCCTGACTGGGGATCGAACTCACAACCTTGGCATATGGGGACAACGCTCTAACCAACTGAGCTACCCGGCCAGGGCCTTACTCTTAAGGGTAGATTTTTTTTTTTTTTTTTTAATCCGGTGCTTTAAAAAATCTTCATATACAAGCCAAATACAGCACTTATGAGCATTTCTCAGGAAATCCTCAGAACCCCTGCAGAAGCCTTTTGAGCACTGCTGGGAGTTCTTCAGCGGCAGGCCCTAATCCCTACCGCATTCTGACGACTCCTGCAGCGGCTACTGCGTCCTCAGAGCGCAGCCTGGGTAGAAGTTGTTTAGGCCGCTGTCCTCCATCGGAAGGAGTGTGTTCGGCCCTGCAGTGGGGCTTTGAAGAAGAGGAAAGCTATGGATCCCCGTATTGGCCTCTTTGGGGTTTCATGGTTTTTCCCACACTATCAGCTGTTTCTTAACCAGCTCATTTGCGCCACCCAGTGGGAAAGTGCTAGAAGAAAAAAGGAGCATCCAACCGAGCCTGCCTTCCTCCAGTTTCTGATCTGCTGTTTCAACCATTCTTTCCCCGCATGAATGTTAAGAGACATCCCAGTGAACAGTTTCTCCCCTGCATTTTGAGGCTGCATGGTGTGATGGGGAAGCACTGGTCTCTCAAACGGTTCCCTCTTCTTTCTTTTTTGTATTCATACTTCTAGCGTCTACAGCCTTTTAGTGACATCATTGTTTTAGTATTTACCATTGCACCTGTAATTCAAAATGGTATTAATCTGGGTGATGAAAAACATCTCTTTGGCATTTTGAAAATTCAGGAATGACTGCGACCATCTGTGATTAATACACGTAAAAGTCAGTATTGTCATTATCATCTGAATGCATCTTCACAAGAACGTCTCAGACGCTTTAACGGCATTCATGCGGTGGACTGCAGAAAGCCGGCCTTTGCACTCAGACCGGAGCTTAAATCCCACCCCTGCCACTTCCTGCGTGACTCTGAGCCTGTTTCCTCCTCAGTCCAGTGGGGATGGCAGTCTTACCTCACAGGGTTAGGGAAAGGGCTTCATGATGTGATACCTGCAGAGCAGTGCCAGGCACAGACTGAGGGACAGCAGACTTTGTTTGAAGGAAGCAACTGTTACTGTTTAGTCTCTGCAGCTACCTATTTGCAGGAGCCAACACCTCTGCTCTGAGTCCCGGATTCCTCTCCTGTCAAACAGGGTCTTAGTTCCTCCTCTCAGAGTTGGACAGATGCAAGGACAAAACACCCCCCACCCCAGCACCTGCACCTCATGGGTGCTTAACAAATGCTAGCTCCTTTCTTTCTAAAAGCAATTGACCCACTGCAAATAATTACAGAATTAGATATAAAGCCAAAATTGTGTTCATTCCATGAGCCCCCTCACTCTGTCTCTTGCTCCCTCAAACACACACACACTTTGCATTCCCACTTTATTTTTCCCACCTCTATCATCAAAAGTGAACCAAAAACACAAGAGCCTTTGGCAGCTTTAAAAAGGAGCAGAAAATTCACTTCAAGATTGTCATCATTTATTTTCATTCCTCACTGTAGCTCCTTGCGAACAGCAACCCCGTCTCCCAGTCACCTGCAACATAGTACAAGGAAATAAGCCTAAGTAGATGCTCATTTAATTTTTCAATTTATGTATCCGTTTGTACCTGCCTGTATTTGATAATATTCTAGGGGTGCAAAAGCGCCTAAATTCTTCCATGTATGTTCTGTTGTTTCTCTAACCAACACGTTGGTATGTTTCCTAACAGTCTCGGAGCACCTGGGCACTCCCGCGCTCAAGTTCCTTTCACTCAGATGTTTCCTATTTTATAGGCTGGGGTGATCCCAGGTCAGTGTGGAAGAGATATAGCAGCTGGCATCAGTTCTGCAGCAGGTGGGACTTGGACACAGCTCATTCATCTAATGGAAATGACATTAAACGTGTCCTCCTGAATGCTGCATGGTGCAGGGCTCATTCCAGGCTGCTTTCCAGGCAGTTCTTGATGGGAGAGAGGAGCCGCTACTGCGCCAGGCACTGTGGAAGGCTGAGGGGCACATGGTGAAAGCACGCGTAGTAAACTGGGGTAAACTGGAGAGTGAATGAGTGTTTCTTTTTCCTGACACTTAGTAGCTCACAGTGGAGAAGGGCTGACAGACGCGGGCACGATCCATGCACACACAGAGTACATGCCAGCTCATCACATGCAAGACTCCAGATGAGCACGAGTGGAGGGAATGGCTAACATCACAGTGGGTTGGGTGGGAGTGTTGGAAGGTGCACCAGGCAGGTGAAATTTCTCTTGCCCGATTGGGAAAAGGAACGGCAATTAGCCAAGGAAAGAAGGCAGGATGTGGTAGGAGCAGGCCACAGGTCAGAGTCTCAGCCGATGCAGAGGCCCAGAGAAAGAGAATGGCCATTGCAGCACAAGAGCCAGGCAGGTGGTAGACGGGTGAAAGGCAAGGTGGTTGGTTCCATGTCAGACCCATTGGTAGATTCATTTCCATTAAGAAATGTCTTCCCTCCTGCTTTCCTTGACTTACACCAACTTAGACTGTCCTTCCTTTTGTATCTTTGATGGAAACTTAGGTAAAGAGAAATTAATTATTCCTTAAGAAACACAGCAGTCTAAATCCAATGATCCTGTCCACCTGTAAGTGGTACTTGGTTTCCGTTGGAGAGCCAACTGGGAGTGGTGGGGCCTGGGGTAAACTGGAGAGCATGTTCTGCATCTGAAGAGGACAGCCATTTAACTCCAGCTGCCCAGTGGCTGCAGATCTTGTAATATTTCAGAAAAAGCAAGGAACCCGGATTTCCAGCAAGTTAGCCATGTTTTTAAGCATGCTTTGATTTATAAAAACCAAAAACCAAGCAGAAGACATTTGCAAGCGAAGCCTTATTCGTGGGCCACACTTACAATGTCTTGTTCAAAGGCTGCAGAGGTCAAAACCTTCAACAAGGAATTGCTCTGCTTTTGGTTTCCCCTAACCATTCTTCTCCCCCTGCTTTCCAGAAAGAGATGACCAGCAGGATGTGTCACTAACGCCCCACCTGACCCTTCGGAAGACAGAGGAGAGCCGTTTGCTCCTGGAGTCCAGGTGGGAGATCTCCCCAGCTGAGAAAGGCAAGGACTTCCAGAAGCAGGCGAGGTGGAGACCAGGGGCGATGGTCCCCCTCCCTTCCTGTGTCTGAACTCTGAGCGCTGCTAGCCACGACCTGTGGGCAACCATGGGGCACAAGAAGGACCGCCCCTCACCCCCCTGGGTCTGGAGAAAGCGTTCCTAAGCCGGTGGCAATTCTGCCTGGGACCTGCGTGCGCCCCAGTGGCCCTGGGATTCAGGGTGTGAGACTGAGAGACTGTACTTTCCACCTCGCCGGCCGACTTTTCTGTACGTGTTTTCTAAGTACCGAGCGCATCTGGAACTCTGGATGACCTGCAAGTTTTTCTAAAACAAGCCTTCCTTTCGGGTCCCTGAAAACTCCCACCCTGCTCCCGTGGCCTAACTTCCCGCAGAGCCGGAGAGACCCGAGGCCTCACCTCCAGCGGCCACACCACGTCCCAATCGGCAGTTTTATCAGGGACACTGCACGGGGTGGCTCGTCTCTGCCCCCAACAGGGTCTGCACACTGGGTGGACACTGGTTTCTAGCCAAAGGCTAACGAGTGACCAGTTCGCCCTGAACTGAATGTGTTTTTGTAACCCCGCTGTTCCTTGTTTCTTCCATTCAAGATATTTTGTCCTGTTTCCCAGAAGAGAGAAATGGAAGGAAGTTTATAAATGACCAAGGATGGTCAGCCGAAGCCCTGAGCCAGATCAGTGCATTGTTTGTTCTTCCTTCGGGGTAGGGAGCCCTGGCGGTCTCTGCATAATACTAAACCTGCAGTAAAAAAAACAACCCACAAAAGTACAACCGGTTATTGGTGCGTGTAGCTCAGGCTCCCGGAGCACTGACCTGGAACCTTCCCAGCTGGCCCTCGGAGCTCCTGAGTCCAGCCAGTGTTTCCTCCCCCTTCCTCCACGCTCTCGCCCCTCTGCCTTGTTACATGATGGCATGAAATTAATTTCTGCCCCAGGGATGGCACCACGGTTGCCAAGGGCATCGTGGAGCTGGCACTAACCTCCTCCTTCCCCCCTTCCCGGGTTTTCCTTTCCAGCAGACAGGGTAGCGCGTTCTGTGCTGCTTCCCGCCTGAAGAAACCCAGGCGAGTCTCGCCTGAAGAAATGTTGCCTTCTCTGATTCATTCACTCACCACCCGGGGTGACCCGAGAGCCTGTGACTAGGTGGTGATCGTGCTTCCACTGAGCATTTAAGTATGACAAAATAGCGGTTGGTGGAGGGAAGTAGATTAAGAATGTATTAGTGCATTTATTGTAATACCGATTAAAGACTAACTAAACAACCCCGATTTCGTTGCATTGTATGTAATGTGTTAAAGCCATCTGTGGCTGCCACCAGAGCCTAAAAGCATGAAATCTTGCTTTGTCCAAATAAGAAAGGGCTGGCTGGCGGGCACAGTGGCGTTCTGCGCTGACCCCCCCGGCCGGCCAGCCCTTGCTTTGCCTGGCGTCCACGCTGTCTCGTGGAATCCCGATGCTGCTTCCTCTCTCAATGTTGTGCTCTGGTCAACAAAATCACTGCCCTTCCCCCTGTTTATTTTTGAGAGGACAAGATAGGTAAAGATGTTTTAGCATCATTTTTGGCTGAAAGAATATCTGACAGCCCTAAGGGTACAGAGAAATAAGAGCCCCTGCCCTGCAATGCGCAGGAAGTCCCACGGATGCCGCACTGGGCAGAGAATGAAGGCACTGAGCCCGGGCCCTTGGGGCAGCTCGAAGCCCCGAACCGTGGAAAACCACAGGAGCTTTGCGTTAGAAATGGACTACGTTCCTGCATTTCAGTCACATAGGATGCTGGCCTCTGAAGACATTTGTTATTAATTCTTTCTAAGGTTATTGCTATTCCCTGTTTGTGCATATGAAATTTCCATTTAATTTAAAAATCCAAATATTTTTTCAACTCCTTGGAACAGATTCCTCCTTGTTATATTGCTAATTGCACTAATCAACTCCCCTGGGGTAAGTTCTGGCACACGACTCTTATTTTTTAATTACAGAGTATTTTTATTCCCACAGAACCTTGTTTGGCAAATTCTAAAGAAAATCATTACAGGAGGTTTTTGGTTTTTTTAATCTCTTTGGCCCAACCACATCACAAGTACATCCCAATGTAAATGGAGGACCTGAGCTCCAGCAGCCCCTCAGGCACCTCTGGTTCTAGGCCTGAGACTGACACCTGGCTTCTTCCTCTGAACCTGGCTGGCTGTCCTTCATCTGCCACTATTTTTTTAGTTGAATTATACATGTAGCCACTACTATTTCTTTTTGAGAAATTTCAAAAAGGAAAGATTATAATGAACATCCATATACCTTTCACTCACACGCATCAATTGTTAACTTTTTTTAATTGTTAACATTTCCATATTTTCTTTCTCTCTCTGTAAATACATTCTTACTGATGAGCCATGTCAAAATAAGTTGCAGACGTCATAAAACTTTAAAATACTTTGTCAATTGTCCCAAAAATGTTTATAGATTTTGTTTTAAATCCAGGATCCAATTAAGAATCACGTATTGTGTTTAGTTGCCATTACCTTTAGTAAATGGATTGGAGTTCTCGGGGTGTGTGTGTGTGTGTGTGTGTGTGTGTGTGTGTGTGTTGTGTGTGTTGTGTGTCCCTCATGACACTCATTAAAAAGTTCAGGCTGGTTTGTTTGTAGACTGTCCCACAATCTGTTTTTTTTTTCTGATTCCTTATTATTAGATTCAGGTTAAACATTTTTTAGCAAGAATACTATATAAGCGATGTTGCTTCTTCCCTATTGCATTACATCAGGAAGCATATAATGTCTAGTTGTCCCTTTTATGATGTTAAGCTTGATCTGTGGTTCACGTGTCATCTGCTGGATCCATTCATTATAATGTTCCATAATTCATTATAAAGCTCTGAAACCCAATACACACGCATTTTATAGAGTGTGAGACTGTGCGTATGTACATTCCTTTCTTACTGTTTTCGGAGAGGAACAGGATCTCCCAAAGATTGCCACCACTGCAGTTAGAACATAAAGCAGGGGCAAAGAATTCACCTCTTCATTTAACAGAAGTAAAGGGAAGCCAGAAGGTTCCCTGTGCAGGCAATACATGAGGATGCTGGCCGAGGAGACTTCGTGTGGGCCCTGTAGCCAGAGTTGAAATAATATGTAACTTCTTTTTTCTCCCATCCTCAGTGACCCATTCAGACCCATGTTTATTTTAGAGAGCATGCATTTTCACTGAAGAACATGCATTTTGTGACCAAAAGCATAACCCTTGATTGGTGTGGGGTAGATATTACAAGGGGCCATGGCCCTCTAAGGGGACAAAGTACGTACACAGTGATGAAATATATATGTGGTGTTAAAATTTCATGGGGGTGGGGGTGATGTGTAATAAAATGTCTAAAAACGCTCCTTAGGAGGGTAACAATGAAAAGGAAATAGGCTGAGAAATACTCACCCAAAGTCCATTTCTACTTCCAAGGTGGTTACTTTTCTCTTCCCCGGGTGTTTTCTCATTTCTGAGGGCCAGGATGAATGGAAGCAATTTTGAGAGATTCCTTTTCTTTCTTTTTTTTAAATATGTCTTTATTGATTTATTTCAGAGAGAGGAAGGGAGAGGGAGAGAGATAGAAACATCAGTGATGAGAGAGTCATTGATTGGCTGCCTCCTGCACGCCCCCGACTGGTGATCGAGCCCGCAACCTGGGCATGTGCCCTGACCGGGAATGAACCCTGATCTCCTGGATCCTAGGTCGATACTGAGCCACTGAGCCACACCGGCTGGGCGGGAGATTTCTTAATCCCTTCCTTCTACCCTCCCAAACCATACCAGTAACATTGCAGGTGGAAACTGACTGTACTCTCAGAGTTCTTTAAGCATAGAAGTCCTACAGTGCCCTTTAGTATAACCCACCAAGCACTTGACAGCATCTCAAATTCTTCCATTCAACTTGAACCAAACGATTATCTTTGCATTTCCACTCACCGTTTTAGAGTCTCACATTAATAAAGATCCAAAGACTATATACAGTAAGTACAAACATAATAAATCACAGCTTTATTTGCATACCCATTACATATTTGAAGACTGTTACCAGTTGCCCTTCAGCCCTTTTTTCCCATTGACAAACTTCTCTTGGAGGTCTCGTTGCCCCCTTGCTAACAGTTCTGCGGGCCAGCGTGGAACCTTCCCAAAGCTCCCCATGTCACCGTGCGTTAGGATGGAACCGGCAGTGGACCTGTACGAAATTACTGCGTGTTTTCTACTAGCTCTATTGTGCTAAATCCTGACTTGACTTTTATACATTTATAAATTTTCTATTTTATTTGCCCACACTAAATTCTTATCTATATTATATTCAACCGTTTTGATTTATCTTCTTGACTTTCCTTCCTTCGTACTTTTAACATCTCTCATAAAATTACAGTGTTTTGTTTGTTTGAAACACCTCTTTAACAGGCAAAACACTGAGGGTCTTGGATAGAGTTCTCATCGTCTTGTGGTGATTTATGCCAGCCCGTCATTCTGGTCCTGGAGGGAAGCCCAGCCCTTCCTGGGCTCTCTCACCTTGCATCACACCCATGCCCCTTGAGCAACACACTGTGAGAAACGAAACACTAGGAAAAGCATGGCTGTTTCTCTGAGAGGTGTGTACAAAAGAGCCAGATGTGTCACTTGGATAATACTCTTGTCATTTTTTTAAAAAAATATGTTTTTATTGATTTTAGAGAAGAAGGGAGAGGGAGAGAGAGAGAAACTTTGATTGGCTGCCTCCTGCATGCCTCCTGCTGGGGATCAAGCCCACAACCCTGGCATGTGCCCTGACCTGGAATCGAACTGTGACCTCCTGGTTCATAGGTCAATGCTCAACCACTGAGCCACATCAGCCAGGCAGTACTGTTGTTACTCGTTCTTGGGTCATTTTGGTCCTTGATCAAGTAGGTGATTCTCTCTTAGAATTAGCCAAACAAAGTGGGTTTTGGAAAGATTTTTTGAAATATTTTTTTCCTGCTTTAAAAAATATATCAACAAAAAAACCTTTACAACATGATGTTTCTTTCTGGGCAGGTATTAATTCTGGGTAAGAGGTTTCAATGAGTAAATAAGAATTTTTGTAACTTTTAGAGGGAAGAATCCAGTTCTAGCCCAATGATTAAGCTGTTTTGCTAGCTTTTGGTGTTCTTAATTTCTAAGTTTTCCAGTATCTTTTCTAACTGCATCAGAAAAATGTGATTACCTTATTTTTAGTTCCATTTGTGATTAAATTAAGGGTCTGACTATAAGAACGTACACAATTAAATCCATTAGAAAAGCAAGATAAAGCTAACGAACCTCTATGGAATCAGTTCTGTGTGAGCTTAGGAATCCTAAGGTCACAAATAAAGGACACGTAACCATCATCTATTCTGTCTTTTTCTATGTGTGTGCTTATTTATTTCTTCATGTTGCAGTGGTCCTGGAACAGCAAAAACTGATACTAACATAAGAAACTTACTTCCCATAGAAGTTAAGCTGGTCATTAGCCAGTCTTTCAATCATCCCAAATTCTCAGCTCTGCATCTAAGAAAACTTCATTGTCACATTGACGAACATGATAAAGAAATGTCATTGAAAAGCAATGGTAGAGTCATGTACTATAACAGTAATATATTTTCTCTGGCTTGTCTTCATTGTGAAGTGGATTTTAGGAGAATACATTATTTTAACTGAAGCTTGTCATTATTTTAATGCAGTATTCATCATCTGAGTTCTCATGATGACAAAAACCAAGCAAAAATCCCCAGGACTTAATGAATTAATAACTAAATGAGGAAATTCAATTCCATCTAGCTAAACTTTTATTGAGTTTATAACTGTATTACTGCATACTCAATTAAGATGGACATCTGCTCCAGAGGAAATCATATCGTACGACTGAGACATGACCTCACATATTATCAAATCAGCAAAGGGTAAAAGTCTAAACATTTTCAAGAAATATATAGAAACTAGAGGGAAAGGGTAGCAACAGAATCCTATGTTCATTAACTCAGAAACAATACCACGGATAGCTATTCTCCATGACTGCCTACGTATGTCTCTACAACGATGTATTTGGCATTGCTACAAACTACATGCTGACTGACACCCACAAGAGGCAGCACTGTTTAGAAAATTCATGAATTATGACTTATTTATTTGTCTAAAGGCTAATTATTTCACATCGGGCTTGTCTCAATCAGAAGTATAATCGCATGGAGGTACAGCAGGGACATTTGGCCCACATGAATCTGTGGTTAAGGGAAAACCTTGGGAAAGATGCTGAGGCTTTTTTTTTTTTTCTTATAAAATCCTCACCCAAGGATATTTTTTCCATTGCTTTTTTTGAGAGAGCAGGAGGAATGGGTGGGGAAGGGAGGGAGGGGGAGAGAGAGAAACGATGTGAGAGAGACACATTGGTTGGTTGCCTCCTGCAGGCACCCCATGCCCTAACCCAACACCGAGGTGCCTGCCCTTGACTGAGAATGGAGCCTGCAACCCACCCCTGAGCGGGCTGGTGCTCTAACCACTGAGCAACACCAGCCAAGGCAATGCTGAGGCTTTTTAACATTGGCTGGAAATGAGGAACTGGGCTGCCCACCCCTGCCCTACCTGTGGATGAGAGCATAGGCCCTTCTCTGCTCAAAACTGCAGCGCTACTCTCTACAGTCAGATCAAAAGCCTCCGCTTCCCCTTTATCCCTCCATTTCAGCCCCACCCCACCCCCAGCCTCCTTGCTGGCCTCACGCACACTAGCACACTCATGTTTATGGCCTTTGCGTTGGCTGTTCCCCTGACTGGATGGATGCTCTTCCCCTAGAGAGCCTCCTGGCTAACGCCTTTTCCTCCAAGTCTTGCTAAAACATCACCTTCTCAACAAGGTCTCTGCTGATTGCACCTGCCCACAAAGACACACAATACCCCTTTCTCTACTGAAATTTTCTTTTCCCCCCAGCATTTATATTATATAATTTGTTTGTTTATTAGGCTTTTGTTTATTGTCTATCTCTTTCCACTAAAAATATAAACTCCATGACATTGCAGATCTCTGTCTATTTTGCTTATTGATATATCCCAAGCATCTAGAAGAGAGTGTCTGGCGCATACTAGATGCTCAATAAATCTTTGATGAATGAATGAATGAATGAATGAATGAATGAATAGTAGATAGGTACCTAATTAAGGTCTGCTACTATAGAGTAATTAAAAGCAATATATAATAATGATAATATCAATTTCATGATACACCAAAAGCATACATTTATTGAGTGCATCTACAGATTAAGTACACTCTAAGCATTTTTCATGGATAATCTCATCTAATGCTCATGACAACCTCATGGGCTGGTTACCTAAGTTTATCCCCATTTTATGGTCAATGTTAAATAATTTGCCCAAGGTCACAAGCCAGAAAGTGATGGAGCTGGATTTAAGGCCACACAGGTGGGCTCAGAAACCCACCCTCTTAACTGGGAATTGTCTTCACCCAGTAGACACTGGACTTTCTTTCCATTCATTTCTGTTTCCGTGGACACAGGCTCCATGTGGTGTAGGAACCCAGCTTTCAGTTTCCTTTCTGGATATTTGTTAAAGTGCTTGCATTAGTGCTTCCATGATCCACGCATCTGAGATGCTTCTATGACCCGTCCGTCTGAGATCATGAAGTACAGCGGTGCCTCGGTTTTCGAACGTCTCCGTGGGAGAACATTTCGGGTTACGAACGCCGTAAACCTGGGAGCAAATGCTCCGCCTTTTGAACCCGCCTCAGAAGTGGAACATGCCCCGCAGCTTCCGCTGAGGACAGGCTCCTAGGCCTAGCTGTCGGCTGTGGATCCCTCGGTTTTCGAACGTTTCAGAACTCGAACAGGCTCCTGGAATGGATCACATTCGAAAACCGAGGCACCACTGTATTTCTATACACA